AATAATAATTAAAAAAAATAATAATACATTAATAGAAAAAATATATATTGAAAAAGTGTGATTGAAATAATTTTTATTTTTTTAATTGATTCATAGCAATATTTATTAGATCCAATTATTTTATTTATTAATTTAAGTAATTCGCATTTTATACAAATACTATTTATTTGATACTATAAATTAAAATAATTATGTGTATTAAATATTTTCTTAGTTTAAATAAATATTTAATGGATAATAGAAAATTAAACCATTTAATTGAATCAAAACATTTTTTTTAGTGTATAAAATATAATTTATTCTTAATTAAAGTAGTTGAATTATTGTTTTTTAAATTACATTGTAGAAAATCAAAATATAATTAAATAAGTTTTTGAAGTTGGTCGGTCAAATTACTACTGTCAAAATTACAAAAAGTTATATAGATATAAATATATATTTTTTAAAAATTTTATTATGAATAAATAATTAAGAAAAGTAATGAATAAGCAAATAAAAATTGAAAAAGTAAAATAATTAAATAGTTTAAATGTATTATTAGTTGGAAAATGTAAACGTGGATACAAGTGAAGATGATAATGAGATTGGCCCTGGAATGCTGCAGCAAGTAGTAATTCTATGATTGATAATGGTGATGATGAAGATGATAATAATCACGATGATGGCAGTTAATGGTGGCGACAATGGTGATGGCAACAAACAATAATATGATAACGATAATGAAGATGACGATGAAATCGATGATGACGAAATCGATGATGATGATGATGACGAAATCGATGATGATGACGATGACGACGAAAATCGGATAAATGATGACGATGATGATGATTGATCATGGCGAGGTTAATGGTGATGTTGACATCAATAATGATGATGACAGCAGTAGTGGTGTTTCCAATGGTTCATTGATAAACTTTAATAATGGTGATTCTTCTGACAGTTCATTTGTTTCTTCACTTAATGAAACTTCTTCTGATTCATCTGGATCAGAATCTGACATTTCCAACGTGTCAATTGATGAAGGTAATGATAACGCATTTTAATGAACATTTAACAAACTATTAGTTAATTGCTTAATAGTTAATCAGGGTTGCCACGCAACCTGGAAACCTGGAAATATCAGGGAATTTTATAAACCTTGAAAAAACTTGGAAAAGTCAGGGAATCTTTATCGAATTCCTGGAAAATTGTTATTTTCTAAAGTTTATTCTTGAAATCTAATTTTACATAAATATTTCAAAATTAATTAAATTTAAAAAGAGTTGCGTTTACAATTTTCGTAAGTATAAATGAATTTCAAAGGTTTGAATTTTAAATTTTGTAAAATTTCAATTGTGAATGAATTTAATTAGAAATCGTCTTAATTGAACGTCGGTTTTTGAAAAAATTTCAATTATTACAATTCTTCTGAAATTTATTTAAATTTTTTAATATATATTTTCAATTGATTATTAAAAATAATGGATTTATAGAAAATTTTTAATTAAAAACACTAAAACAAATTGGATTTTGAAGCAATTATAAATAATTGCAGAAATTCAATTATTTTCAAAAGTAGTAAAATTCTTCTTAGAAATTCAATTATTTTCAACAATTTTAATAAAATTCGTGATAAAATGTCGATTATTTTCAAAAATTTCCCCTCAATTCAATTATTTTTAATAAATTTACTAATTTAATAAAATTTTCTAAATGAATTCAATCATTTAAAAAATCTTAATGAAATTCCACGCAAACATTTAATTATTTTTATAGATAATACAATTTTTTACAGGGATTCAATTATTTTTATAAATAATAAAACTCAATGTTGAATTTAAATTATTTTTAATACAATTTTAATAGAATTCCTCGAAATTATTTTCTATACAGTTTTAATTAAATTTCTTCAAAAAATTTAATTATTTAAAACAATTTTAATGAAATTCTTCGAAACAACACAATTTAAAAAAAAAATAATTTAAATAAAATTCTTCGTAGAAATTTTAATAATTTCAAATATTTGTCAAAATTAAGTTATTTCCAATGTCTACCATTTCAATAAAATTTCATAAAAGAATTCAATTATTTAAGAAGAATATTTTAATAAATTCGTCTCAAGAATTCAATTATTTTCAAAAGTAATATAATTCTTCGCAAAAATTTAATTGTGTTTAACAATTTACAAAAATTCTCGTCAAAATTTCAATAATCTTTACAAATTTTTTTCCGAAATTCAATTATTTTCAAAAATTTTAATAAAATTCTTGGCAGAATTTCAATTATTTTAAATATTTTTATCAAATTTCTCGAAAAATGGACACAAATTTTATTAAAATTTGTCAAAAGAATTCAATTATTTAAAAATTTGTTGTTAAAATACTTTATGAAAATTCAATTTCAAAAAACATTCAATTATTTAATAAAATATTTATTTTTGTATTTAAATAATTGAATTCTCGTGGATTTTTCTAGTAAATATTGATTTAAAAAAGAATTTCAGTTAAAATTTTAGATTATTATTGAATATATTGAAAGCAATATAGAGTAAATTTATAAAAATAATTGGATTTTGAAAAGGTTTCAAATGAAAATCTTCGAAAAATTGAACTTTTCAAACTTTTAATTATCAAATCTGTAGAATTCTTTTTTTTTAAAAAGTTTAATTGAATTTTTCTTTAATTTTTCGAGTTTTTATTTTATAATATATATATATATATATATATATATATATATAATTGAAAAATTTCAGAATTTTCAAAATTACGTAAAAATTAATATTGAAAGTAATTGAATTCTTGTGGAGAATTTTATCAATTTTGAAAATAATTGAATTCTTGTGGAGAATTTTATCAATTTTGAAAATAATTGAATTCTTGCGGAGAATTTTATCAATTTTGAAAATAATGGAATTCTGGCGAAGAATTTTGTCAATTTTAAAAAATAATTGAATTATTTTGAAGAAGTTTAATCAAAATTTTGGAGAATAATTGAATTCCTACGAATAATTTTATTATCTATAAAAATAATTAAATTCTTGACAAGATTTTTAAGGAAATTTAGAATTAATTTTTCTCAAACAGTTTATATTAGAATATTTTTTTAATTATTGGAAGTTTTTAATTTCTATTTTATTTAATTGAAATTATTCTGAAGATTATTCTGAAGATTATTCTGAAGAATGCCAGAATAATCGAAATTAGGTAAAATTAAATTGTAAACAAAAGGATTTGAAAATTCGCAAAGAACTTTCTCAAAAGTTAATTTAAGAAAATTGATTTAAAGAAGAATTTTAGTTAAAAATTCTAAAAATGAATAATTGAATTGAAATGAAAATAATTTTAAAGAAATTACAGTTTAACAATATTTTCTATAATATAAAATAATGATAGTATCAAGTTTTAATTATTATAGAACATGAAGAATGATATCTTCATGTTTTATAATAAATATTCTTTTATGTTATTGAATTAAAAATTTTTGAAAATTTTAATTTCTATAGAAAAATAATAATTATTGAATATTCATTTAAAAACGAAATGTCTGGAAATCAGGGACTTATTCAATTTGATAAAATATAAATTTAGTTTTAAAAACCTGGAAAAATTTCGTTTTTTAATCTGAAAAACTTGCAAAAGTCAGGGAATTTGAAATGAGGAAAGTGTGGCAACCCTGTTAATATTAATCCTAGGTAAAAATGATTCGGACAAAATTCTTTAGAATTCAGTTAAATTTTGTTAAATTCAGGTTCAAATATCTGTACTAATTCCGCACGTTTTTTGAAAGATAAAATAAATTTTTTAGAAATTCCACTGGAAATTTGATAAAAATTTTACACCTAATGTTTGATGTATCATTTTTTCAGAAAATTTTCGACAATTTTTCCGAACGAATTTTGTACTAAAATCTATTATTACCAACTAAAATTTCGTAAAAAATCGATAAAAATTCTGAATACAAAGTTTACTTATTTGTAATTATTCTTATTAAAGGCGTTTATAATATTGTGATTTTAATTAAATAGTATAATATATATTTTTAAATTTTAGATTTTTCCGATGCTTTATCCGACGAATTTTCAAGTGGAACTAATACCGATGACTCCGGAGACGAGCAAAATGAACCTATAAATGAAGATCCACCACTTTTTCAAGGATGTCCACTTACTTTGTCAGAGAGCCTTTTAAGTATTCTTTCTCTGACGCTTCGACATACAATTACTGGTGTACTTTTAGCATCCATTTTACAATTGATTCATTTACACTGTCCAGAGCCAAATCACTGCGTTCAATCTTTATACACATTCAAAAATTATTTCGAGGAATTAAAAAGTCCAATCAACAGGCATTTTTATTGCACTGACTGTCTTAATAATTTAGATGATAAAAATTCACAGTGTGCCATATGTGGGTCAGTTGGGAAATCTAATTATTTTATGACTATATCTGTGATATCTCAACTACGCGCCATGTATGCAAGAAATGGTTTCAAAGAAAAATTAAATTATCGGCATAATAGAGTAAAATTATTCCCAGACAACATTGAAGACATATACGACGGATCTATTTATCATGAATTAAATGAACCAGGGGAATTATTATCTGACGCAAACAATATATCATTTACCTGGTATACTGATGGAGTACAAGTTTTCAACAAATCGAAATTTTCTTTCTGGCCGTTTTATTTGGTCATCAATGAACTTCCATATTCCGAACGATTCAAAAAGGAAAACCTAATATTAGCTGCAATGTGGTTTGGAGAAGAAAAGCCCTCAGCTAATATGTTTCTGCTGCCACTCTATGATGAGTTAATGGAAATCAAAACCGGAGTAGATTTTAAATTATTTGGTCAGGAAGAACTTGTTAATGTTAAAGGAATAATCATCTGCGGTACTTGTGATCTACCAGCGAAAGCAAAATTTCTAAATATGATGCAGTATAATGGCAAATGTGGATGTCCCAAATGCAAGCAGGAAGGAAAGAGAGTTAATAATACACAAGTTTACCCTTACAAAAGAAATATGGCTATGCGTACAGAAGAAGAAACTTTGGAACAAGCAGAAACAGTTACAAATAAACCTATTTGTGGTGTTAAAGGACCAACAATTTTATCATTGCTGGTATACAAATGGATTCAAACAACTGCGATCGATGCTATGCACTGCGTTTTTGAAGGAATAATGAAGGCTCTTCTGAAGTTATGGTTTTTTTCCAGAATTTGCCAACATGCCTTTTTCACTTTATCATTTAGTTGATGTCATTGATGAACGCTTAAAAAATATTCATCCACCAGGATTTGTCCAAAGAAGACCACGTTCAATTAAGAAGCACGTCAAATATTGGAAAGCGTCGGAATTGAAAAATTTCTTTTTTTACTTCTCTCTTATTATTTTGAAAGATGTAATGAAAGAAGAATACTTTCAAAACTTTCAATTATTAGTTGGAGCTATACATATTCTTTGCCAACAAAGCGTATCAATACAGATGATAGGCGAAGCAAAAAGATTAATTCAAGAATTTGTGTCAACGTTTCAGACGCTTTATGGTCTTCGAAATATGTCGTGTAACGTGCATTTACTTCTCCATCTACCAGAAGTGGTTGAGAAATTGGGTCCACTTTGGCAATATTCCTGCTTCACATTTGAAGATATAAATGGGAAACTGAAAAAATTAGTTCATAGCAGCAAGAATGCAGAACTACAAATTTATAATGGGTTTTCTTTATACTTAAATACGTTTACATTAAACAAAGATTTTCTCAATGAAGGCACAAAAGTCTACGAGTTTTGCAAAAAACAACTTAGTCCAACTAAACAAATGAAATTGTGTGATATTGGAAATGGATATTTCATTGTTGGGGGGTTATCAAAATTACAAGTGCCGAATAATATAATGCATGGATTTGAAAATGATAGAATCGTTGGCAGAAGATTCTTTGTATTTCAAAAATTGCTGCACAACAACTTTGTTTATAGGTCCGAAATATATCGTCGAGCAAAAGTTACTAACTCAACATGCGTAAAGTTTATAATTGATAATGAAATATCATTTGGTATAATTAATATGTTTGTGAGAGTCACGAATTGTAATTGCAGAAAACTGTGTCGATGTCGAGCAGAACACTACGCCGTAGTAAGAAAATGTATTCACAAAGTAACGTTTCCCAACTTAAGCATACCTAGACAAAGATTGAATTTTATTCACAGTTTACAAATACTGAACGAATTCCAAAATATACATATCACATCATTGAAATCCCTCTGTTTCTTCGTAGAAGTGAAAGATACAAATTTAAAATATGCCGCAGAGCCAGTAAATACAGTTGAGGAAGAATAAAATAAGAAAATGCTTGCTAGTCGAAAGAGCATAGTCTAAATATAATAAGCTCAGTGAAAATAATGTTGCACTTCTAGATTACTTGCTAGAATATCTCTGTTTGTAACTTCTCTCAAATATTAGAATTTTAAGATTTCAAGAAAAAAGCTCAACATTTTTTTTAAATCTTAATTTTGCCTTTCGGCATACCTTAGCAGCCTTCACGAAAAATGAAAGATTTGCTAGACTTACAATTTAAACCACAAAAATTAGTTGACACCGGTCTACCCTTTACCTATTCTTTGTAAACTTACCCAGGCACTATAAAAATCGATATAATTTTGCAAAATGCTCGAATTTTAGTGCAAAACCTAATTTTGCCTTTCGCCATACCTTGGCAGCCTTCACGAAAAATTAAAGATTCGTGAGACTTACATTAAAAAACCACAAAAATTTGTTGAGACCGGTGTATCATTTGCCTATTCTGTGTAAACTTACGTGGCATATTAAAAACCTATAAAATTTTGCAAAATGCTTATATTTTAGTGCAAAACCCAATTTTGTCTTTCCCTATACTTTGGCAGCCTTCACGAAAAATTAAAGTATGGCAGTTAGCTGATGTAGAATTGCAGTCAACTAGTATTATCTTTCAGCCATACTTGGTCAGACTGAAAACATACTTCTGTAGACTTTAATATCTTTTAGCCATACTTTGATTTATTAATACTTCATTACTTGATATTGACTCTTTATTTTGCTTTCAGTGTATGTCCGACTATACATTGATTTTTCTATTAAAAACTAAAAAAATGTTTCTGTTATAAATGTTTAATTAACTAATTGTCTGACTAAATGCGACTAATTCATATTAAATAAAAAAATTTCAATAATAGTATTTACTTTGAATTCACTACTTGTCTGACCATACTTTGATTTTTCCCCTTAATCATTACAAATTTTTACCGTTAGTGATTATTTAAATAAGATAAAAATTTATTTCTTTTATTAACAGCTAAGAATGTAAATTATTTCCAATAATCAAAACATATTCTTCAAAGTTACTTATAAACATGCTTCTACAAAAAATTTAGTTAATTTTTTTATGATTCAACTACATTATTAACGCCCGTGTATATATTTCCCTAATTCGCCTTATTAGAAAAGAGGCGCTGATGAGGATCTATTTATGTCCCTATTAAATATTACAATCAGGCCCTGACTAGAATGCCTCTAGTTAAATTTACACATTCTTATATTCTACTCGGGCATCGACAAGGCTATCTAGTTAGAACCTCTCTATTTTTCCACATCATCACCTGATATTCGAAGCGTGACGCAATTAGACGGGTCCTAACGAATTTTCATAGTTTCCGCCACACTTGCGAAGGGGCATCTATTCAGGGATTTATTAAAGCCTATTTTCAATTTCTACACGGACGTTAATCATATATAGATGCACTGTAAAAAATTTAGGAAGATAACGGACTCGGGAGTTAAGAGTAAAATTTTTCGAGTTAAAAATCAACTCCAAAAGAGAGTTAATTACATTTAAAACCATAAAAATAGTTGAGACCGGTCTATCCTTTGCCCATTCTTCATTAACTTTCCCAGGCACTTTAAAAATCGATAAAGTTTTGCAAAATACTCGAATTTTAGTGAACAACCTATTTTTGCCTTTCGCCAAACTTTGGCAGCATTCACGAAAAATTTAAGATTTGCTAGATTTACAATTAAAACTACAAAAATTAGTTGAGACCGGTCTATTCTTTGCCTATTCTTTATTAACCTTCCCAGGCACATAAAAAATCGATAAAGTTTTTCAAAATACTGGAATTTTAGTGAACAACCTAATTTTGCCTTTCGCCATACTTTGGCAGCCTTCACGAAAAATTGAAGATTTGCTAGATTTACAATTAAAACTACAAAAATTAATTGAGACCGGTCTATTCTTTGCCTATTCTTTATTAACTTTCCCAGGCACATTAAAAATCGATATAATTTTGCAAAATGCTCAAATTTTAGTGAACAACCTAATTTTGCCTTTCGCCATATTTTGGCAGCCTTCACGAAAAATTAAAGATTTGCTAGATTTACAATTAAAACTACAAAAATTAATTGAGACCGTTCTATTCTTTGCCTATTCTTTATTAACTTTCCCAGGCACATTAAAAATCGATATAATTTTGCAAAATGCTTAAATTTTAGTGAACAACCTAATTTTGCCTTTCGCCATACTTTGGAAGCCTTCACGAAAAATTGAAGATTTGCTAGATTCACAATTAAAACTACAAAAATTAGTTGAGACCGTTCTATTCTTTGCCTATTCTTTATTAACCTTCCCAGGCACATAAAAAATCGATAAAGTTTTTCAAAATACTGGAATTTTAGTGAAAAACATAATTTTGCCTTTCGCCATATTTTGTCAGCATTCACGAAAAATTAAAGATTTGCTAGATTTACAATTGAAACTACAAAAATTAATTGAGACCGTTCTATTCTTTGCCTATTCTTTATTAACTTTCCCAGGCACATTAAAAATCGATAAAGTTTTGCAAAATACTCGAATTTTAGTGAACAACCTAATTTTGCCTTTCGCCACACTTTAGCAGCTTTCAAGAAAAATTAATGATTCGTTAGACTTACGTTTAAAACCGTAAAAATTAGTTGAGACCGGTCTATTCTTTGCCTATTCTTTATTAACTTTCCCAGGAACATTAAAAATCGATATAATTTTGCAAAATGCTCAAATTTTAGTGAACAACCTAATTTTGCCTTTCGCCATACTTTGGAAGCCTTCACGAAAAATTGAAGATTTGCTAGATTTACAATTAAAACTACAAAAATTAATTGATACCGTTCTATTCTTTGCCTATTCTTTATTAACCTTCAAAGGCACATAAAAAATCGATAAAGTTTTTCAAAATACTGGAATTTTAGTGAACAACCTAATTTTGCCTTTCGCCATACTTTGGCAGCCTTCACGAAAAATTGAAGATTTGCTAGATTTACAATTAAAACTACAAAAATTAATTGATACCGTTCTATTCTTTGCCTATTCTTTATTAACCTTCCCAGGCACATAAAAAATCGATAAAGTTTTTCAAAATACTCGAATTTTAGTGAAAAACATAATTTTGCCTTTCGCCACACTTTGGCAGCCTTCAAGAAAAATTAAAGATTCGTTAGACTTACGTTTAAAACCGTAAAAATTAATTGAGACCGGTCTATTCTTTGCCTATTCTTTATTAACTTTCCCAGGCACATTAAAAATCGATAAAGTTTTTCAAAATACTCGAATTTTAGTGAAAAACATAATTTTGCCTTTCGCCACACTTTGGCAGCTTTCAAGAAAAATTAAAGATTCGTTAGACTTACGTTTAAAACCGTAAAAATTAGTTGAGACCGGTCTATTCTTTGCCTATTCTTTATTAACTTTCCCAGGCACATTAAAAATCGATATAATTTTGCAAAATGCTCAAATTTTAGTGAACAACCTAATTTTGCCTTTCGCCATACTTTGGAAGCCTTCACGAAAAATTGAAGATTTGCTAGATTCACAATTAAAACTACAAAAATTAATTGAGACCGTTCTATTCTTTGCCTATTCTTTATTAACCTTCAAAGGCACATAAAAAATCGATAAAGTTTTTCACAATACTGGAATTTTAGTGAACAACCTAATTTTGCCTTTCGCCATACTTTGGCAGCCTTCACGAAAAATTGAAGATTTGCTAGATTTACAATTAAAACTACAAAAATTAATTGAGACCGTTTAATTCTTTGCCTATTCTTTATTAACTTTCCCAGGCACATTAAAAATCGATAAAGTTTTGCAAAATACTCGAATTTTAGTGAACAACCTAATTTTGCCTTTCGCCATACTTTGGCAGCCTTAACGAAAAATTGAAGATTTGCTAGATTTACAATTAAAACTACAAAAATTAATTGAGACCGTTCTATTCTTTGCCTATTCTTTATTAACCTTCAAAGGCACATAAAAAATCGATAAAGTTTTTCAAAATACTGGAATTTTAGTGAACAACCTAATTTTGCCTTTCGCCATACTTTGGCAGCCTTCACGAAAAATTGAAGATTTGCTAGATTTACAATTAAAACTACAAAAATTAATTGAGACCGTTTAATTCTTTGCCTATTCTTTATTAACTTTCCCAGGCACATTAAAAATCGATAAAGTTTTGCAAAATACTCGAATTTTAGTGAACAACCTAATTTTGCCTTTCGCCATACTTTGGCAGCCTTAACGAAAAATTGAAGATTTGCTAGATTTACAATTAAAACTACAAAAATTAATTGAGACCGTTCTATTCTTTGCCTATTCTTTATTAACCTTCAAAGGCACATAAAAAATCGATAAAGTTTTTCAAAATACTGGAATTTTAGTGAACAACCTAATTTTGCCTTTCGCCATACTTTGGCAGCCTTCACGAAAAATTAAAGATTTGCTAGATTTACAATTAAAACTACAAAAATTAATTGAGACCGTTTTATTCTTTGCCTATTCTTTATTAACTTTCCCAGGCACATTAAAAATCGATAAAGTTTTGCAAAATACTCGAATTTTAGTGAACAAACTAATTTTGCCTTTCGCCATACTTTGGCAGCATTCACGAAAAATTTAAGATTTGCTAGATTTACAATTAAAACTACAAAAATTAGTTGAGACCGGTCTATTCTTTGCCTATTCTTTATTAACCTTCCCAGGCACATAAAAAATCGATAAAGTTTTTCAAAATACTGGAATTTTAGTGAACAACCTAATTTTGCCTTTCGCCATATTTTGGCAGCCTTCACGAAAAATTAAAGATTTGCTAGATTTACAATTAAAACTACAAAAATTAATTGAGACCGTTCTATTCTTTGCCTATTCTTTATTAACTTTCCCAGGCACATTAAAAATCGATATAATTTTGCAAAATGCTTAAATTTTAGTGAACAACCTAATTTTGCCTTTCGCCATACTTTGGAAGCCTTCACGAAAAATTGAAGATTTGCTAGATTCACAATTAAAACTACAAAAATTAATTGAGACCGTTCTATTCTTTGCCTATTCTTTATTAACTTTCCCAGGCACATTAAAAATCGATAAAGTTTTTCAAAATACTGGAATTTTAGTGAAAAACATAATTTTGCCTTTCGCCATATTTTGTCAGCATTCACGAAAAATTAAAGATTTGCTAGATTTACAATTGAAACTACAAAAATTAATTGAGACCGTTCTATTCTTTGCCTATTCTTTATTAACTTTCCCAGGCACATAAAAAATCGATAAAGTTTTTCAAAATACTCGAATTTTAGTGAAAAACATAATTTTGCCTTTCGCCACACTTTAGCAGCTTTCAAGAAAAATTAATGATTCGTTAGACTTACGTTTAAAACCGTAAAAATTAGTTGAGACCGGTCTATTCTTTGCCTATTCTTTATTAACTTTCCCAGGAACATTAAAAATCGATATAATTTTGCAAAATGCTCAAATTTTAGTGAACAACCTAATTTTGCCTTTCGCCATACTTTGGAAGCCTTCACGAAAAATTGAAGATTTGCTAGATTTACAATTAAAACTACAAAAATTAATTGAGACCGTTTAATTCTTTGCCTATTCTTTATTAACTTTCCCAGGCACATTAAAAATCGATAAAATTTTGCAAAATACATGAATTTTAGTGAACAACCTAATTTTGCCTTTCGCCATACTTTGGCAGCCTTCACGAAAAATTGAAGATTTGCTAGATTTACAATTAAAACTACAAAAATTAATTCAGACCGGTCTATTCTTTGCCTATTCTTTATTAACTTTCCCAGGCACATAAAAAATCGATAAAGTTTTTCAAAATACTCGAATTTTAGTGAAAAACATAATTTTGCCTTTCGCCACACTTTAGCAGCTTTCAAGAAAAATTAATGATTCGTTAGACTTACGTTTAAAACCGTAAAAATTAGTTGAGACCGGTCTATTCTTTGCCTATTCTTTATTAACTTTCCCAGGAACATTAAAAATCGATATAATTTTGCAAAATGCTCAAATTTTAGTGAACAACCTAATTTTGCCTTTCGCCATACTTTGGCAGCCTTCACTAAAAATTAAAGATTTGCTAGATTTACAATTAAAACTACAAAAATTAATTGAGACCGTTCTATTCTTTGCCTATTCTTTATTAACCTTTCCAGGCACATAAAAAATCGATAAAGTTTTTCAAAATACTCGAATTTTAGTGAAAAACATAATTTTGCCTTTCGCCATACCTTGGCAGCCTTCACGAAAAATTAAAGATTCGTTAGACTTACATTTAAAACCGTAAAAATTAATTGAGACCGGTTTATTCTTTGCCAATTCTTTATTAACTTTCCCAGTCACATTAAAAATCGAGATATTTTGCAAAATACTCCAATTTTAGTGAACAACCTAATTTTGCCTTTCGCCATACTTTGGCAGCCTTCACGAAAAATTGAAGATTTGCTAGATTTACAATTAAAACTACAAAAATTAATTGAGACCGTTCTATTCTTTGCCTATTCTTTATTAACCTTCCCAGGCACATAAAAAATCGATAAAGTTTTTCAAAATACTCGAATTTTAGTGAAAAACATAATTTTGCCTTTCGCCATACCTTGGCAGCCTTCACGAAAAATTAAAGATTCGTTAGACTTACATTTAAAACCGTAAAAATTAATTGAGACCGGTTTATTCTTTGTCAATTCTTTATTAACTTTCCCAGTCACATTAAAAATCGAGATATTTTGCAAAATACTCCAATTTTAGTGAACAACCTAATTTTGCCTTTCGCCATAATTTGGCAGCCTTCACGAAAAATTAAAGATTTGCTAGATTTACAATTAAAACTACAAAAATTAGTTGAGACCGGTCTATCCTTTTCTTACTCTGAAAAATACGAAAATGTTGAAAGTAAAACGAAAAATTTCCAAAAAGCTGATTCTAACTTCTCCCCATACTTTCTAAGACTTTGGAAAAAAGGAAAAATTTGAAAATAAAACCGATTTGCCTGAGCCCATACTTTCTAAGCTTTTGACATTATTCTTTGCTGTACTCGAACAATGGGATTTGCTCATTAGCCATTGTTTGTCAGCTTTAAGAAGTTTGGCAGTTGGCTGATGTAGAATTGCAGTCAACTTGTATTATCTTTCAACCATACTTGGTCAGTCTGAAAACATACTTCTCTAGACTTTAATATCTTTTAGCCATACTTTCATTTTCACGCGGGTATTCACCCATTTTTATATAGTTTTTTATATAGTTTTTATATAGTTATATAGTATAACTATATTATATATATAATATAGTTATATAGTTATAGTTATATACTATATATAACTATATTTTTATATAGTTTTTATATAGTTTTTTTTTTATATAGTTAATTATTTTTTTCTACAGTTAAGTTTCATTTTAAACTTTCGTATGTTTTTATACATCAAATAAGTGTGCATCTTAAATTATATTAAAAAATCTTTCATTAATCTTTTAAGTTTCTTTTTTAAGGAATCGTCGGTCCAAATGGAACACTATTTTTCTGTTTGACGTATGTATCTCCAAATTACATCTTTTAAAAGCAAAAAATGAAATGGTCTTTTAAAATATATATTGTTATCGTCTGAACTAAGATTTTCAGCAAAAAAAAGCAGGTTCAGATATAAAAAAGGCAGACATTTGAATGTGTAACTTGATTTTTGGAACTTAAATTGTTTAAAAAAATGGGTGAATATTAATAAGAAAAATTCTATTTAAGATGATAGCTAGTAGTTTGTATTTTAAGAATCTTTTATTTTTTGCTTTAAAACGAAGGAGATTGGAGATAATAATATCGTGTCAACCAAAAAAAAAATTAAGTGACCCTCTTCAATCGTCGATTTTTAGGAAAAATACTTAAAATATCAATAAAAAATTTTTGACTATAGTTTAAGGTGTACACTTAAATTGAAAAATGTGTACGAAAACTTAAAAATAATACTTATTAGAAAAAAATGTTCAAAAAAACGTCATTTGTATGAGACATACCCTTTCAATTATTATAATTTACTTTACATTTGCTGAAGTATAAATTCTGCAAAATACAATTTGTCTGCAATAATAATTTATTATTATTCATAATTATTTATTCTTAATTTCTGTATATTTATTGTTTTTTCCGTTTTTTAGTACGTTTAAATTATGGTAATAATCTATTACTAAAAATAAGGTTTCTTTTTAGATCTGTTGCTGATAGATTTAATGTCAGCAAATCCACGGCATGGGAGTGCACGATGGACGTAGCAACTGCTCTCTGTGCAGATGTACAACATCATATTCGCTGGCCCAGAGGCGAAGAAATCGAAACAAATGAACGAGAATTTCGAGAAATTGATGGATTTCCAGGAGTTATTGGACTCGTGGATGGGTGCCACATCGAAATAAGTGCGCCTCACGAGAACGCTGCAAGTTATATAAATAGAAAGGGCTATTATTCTATCAATATGCAGGGCATTTGTGACGCAAGGAGGCGCTTTATAGATGTCTTTGCTGGTTGCCCTGGAAGCGTAAATGACGCAAGAGTATGGCAGATGAGCGATATTAAACAGGAAAGCGAACGTAATAATGATGATTACTTTTCCAGACAAACGCACATCTTAGGAGATAAAATTTATCCGACTGAGTTCAATTTGTTACCAGCCTATAAAGAATACGGTAATTTACTTAGAGTTCAAAGGCACTATAATTCAGTCCACGCGAGAACGCGACAAATAGTCGAAAGGACCTTCGCCCTGCTTTTGTCTCGTTTTCGTAGACTAAAATATCTTTTTCTCCAGAATGTGGAAAATGCATCGCTAATTATTTTAGCATGCTGCTGCCTTCATAATATTTGCTTAAAATTAGACGACATGATTGATGAGGATGGAATTGTGAATGCTGAAAACGACGATGACAATGAAGAATTTGACAATGACGATGGAGCTCGACTGGAAGAAGTGCTACCGGAAAATCCACGTTTTAATGCAGAAATTAAACGAAATATTATTGCTAATGCGTTGTATGAAAATCGCCAAGGATTGTAAATTAAAGTTTTGCAAATTAATCTTTTTTTTAAATTTATAATATATTTTTAATATAAAAATATAAATACGTATGTATAAGTAAGTAAATATAAATATACAATATTTTTCCTTATCATGTATATGTTAATAATTTAAGGGAAGGGTTCAGTTGAATTTCAACACTTAAATTTACGTTGTTAAAAAGCTTCAATTTTTTTAAGCATTATTTAGGATCTGAAATTACTTTAAATTAACTTAAAATTAACTTTAAATTCATACGTTTGATTATTCAGAAACATAAAGAAGCGTATAAAAAATCACCAACAAATTAATAATGTTCAGTTTTTAAAAATAAATAAGGCTAAATGGAGACAAGGTGTTGGCGGAGCTTAATTTACAGATATAAAATTAATTACGTTAATATTTTAATCACATATCTCGTACAAGAGATTTTGAGTATTGCCAAGTTTCTATTTTAACAATTGGCAGCAAGATAATTAAATGTATCCCTTAATACATACAATAAATAATACAATAATAATAAAAATTAAAAATCATACAAACATTTTTGTCTTATTACTCATATAAGAGAAATTGACTTGAATTTTTTATTTTTGTCAATGTTTCTTTTTGATCTGACAGGAATGACGTTTTGGAATTTCCCAATATGCGAACAACAGTTTCTCGTGATTCAAAAGTCACATAAATTGTCTACATTATTCCATAAATTGGTGAAAAATGGGTATTTCTTTCCCGTTTACTCCAAATTACCCTACACAAGATTTTTCAATTATAAATATCATTAATTAAAATGATAAATTATTACTCTCTAAATATTTGAGCATAAAATTATTATTTAAGATTTATGAGAGAAATTATAAAATTCAGTAGCCTCCTCACTTAAATTACAAATGTTTTCTACTGTAATATTACAAGAATGAAAAAATTAATTTATGTTTAAAAACTTACTGAATCTCATTAACTAGCTTTAAAATAGATTTATTTTAAAACTAATTAATGAGACCAGGGTTGCTATGTATATTTTGAAATTCCCTGACTTTTTCCGGTTTTCCAGGTAAAAAAACAACTTTGTCCCTGACTTAAATAATAAAATAATAATCATAAAAATAATGATTTTAACACAAAATAAAAAAAATTATTGTTTATGTTTTGAAAGATGTTCGCATTTTAAATCATGATAAAATAACCCAAAATATGCTTTTTGAATCAATATTTTTTTTTATGAATTCCCGGTTTTTTCACCATTTTCCCTGACTTTTCCTCGGTTTTTTAGACCAGTGGCAATCCTGTAAGATTTGCATGAAACATTTTTTTAATATCACAAAGAAATAGTATACATTTCTTTAAAATTAAGTTTTATTATAAGTGACGCTCCATGAGAAAATTTAGCTGTCCAGATAAAACCTTTTGATATTTAAAAAAAATATATTAAAGACAAAATTCAAATCCATTTTTTTAAATCAAAAATATCTTATCTTATAAATTACCAGCTATTACTTTAAACATGGTATTTAGAATTTTGAAGACTCTACTCTAGTTAATGAAAGATAAAATTAAAATAACTACTTAATCTTATATATTTTTATAACTTTATTTGTTATAGATGCTTTTTTAATACAAAATTTATGAATAGTTAATACGATATCACTCTCCACAATCTCAACATTATAATATAATCCTTATTGTAATATATTGAACATGTATAAAAATAAACGTATCTGAACACTGAACAGTTTCAACATTCATATTGCACATGTTAATCACAAATACATGAGCATTTATAAAGAAACACATTTTTATTTAAAACAATTAGTCTTAACGAATTAAAAAAATATACATTTTCATTCTTAGCAATTTCAGCATCATATCACATTTTTTCTATGTATGTACTAAGTATAAAAATAACATTGTTTTTATATAAAAAAGTTTGTACTCACAGCACGTAATTCTAACATAACAATTTAATGTTCATAAAGAAATATTCATATTTTTTATTTTTAACGATTCATTTAAACGAATTTTACTTTTTAAATTTGGTTCATGTCCATTGTTATTATATAATTTAATATGATTATTTCTTTTAAATAAATACTGCTGTTTCTTATTGCATTCAAACAAATCTTTTTAGAACGAATTAAAAAAATTTACATTTTCATTCTTAGCAATTTCAGCATCATATCACATTTTTTCTATGTATGTACTAAGTATAAAAATAACATTGTTTTTATATAAATAAGTTTGTACTCACAGCACGTAATTCTAACATAACAATTTAATGTTCATAAAGAAATATTCATATTTTCTATTTTTAACGATTCATTTAAACGAATTTTACTTTTTAAATTTGGTTCATGTCCATTGTTATTATATAATTTAATATGATTATTTTTTTTAAATAAATACTGCTGTTTCTTATTGCATTCAAACAAATCTTTTTAGAAAAATGATTTATTAAATGACTTTTTTCTTATTTTATCTACACTGTTAGAAATATCTATATGAATTTTCAATAACATGTAAGTGAAGTCCATATCAATCCGTGTCATTGAATTTTTAGTTGAATATTCAATAGCAACTGTGATTGAAAATTCAATAACATGGAATTGAAAATTCAATATCATGGAATTGAAAATTCAATAACATGGACTTGAAAATTCAATAACATGGAATTGAAAGTTCAATAATATAGAATTGAAAATTCAATAACATAAAATTGAAAATTAAGTAAGTTTGACCAGTATTGTATATAGGTACATACACTGTAAAAATTTTTTTGGGGAAAATTCACAAAAATTTCTTCTTTTCTGTGAATTTTACAATTCATGATGAATATTTACCAAGATTGAATAAAATAATTGTAGTTTATAGAGATTCGTTTTATTTCACAAAATTTGTTTGATTACAAAACTATTTTACAAAATATTTTTCCCAAACCATAATAAACAATTATGAAGAACAATAATAAAATAGTATTAATATTATATTAATCATAACCCACACTAACAATAAAATTACTTATCCCTAGAAATTGAAATTCGTCCAAATTAACTGATAATACACACAAGTATATTAAAAATTCACTATTGCTGTTCACTATTGTTCAATAAATAATTATAAAATATAATATTATAATATATATATATATATATTTATTTTGAATTAAATTTTAAACACTAATTTTTTATTTAAAACACTGTAAAAACAAGAAGAGTTTCACGCGCGGATGTACTTCCTATGGCAAATGCTGTAAAGCAACTGACGCCAAAAGGACCTTTTGTCAAAAACTTCTAAGAAATTGTGGAAATTTTCCACACCAGATGTGACAAATGTATTGAATTTTCAATAACAGTAATGAATTTTCAATAACAGTATTGAATTTTCAATAACAGTATCGAATTTTCAATAACAGTAATGAATTTTCAATAACTGCGTCTGTATTTTTCAATTACAAACCAATGGATTTTCATTTTTTCAATAACAGTAATGAATTTTCAATAACTGCGTTTGTATTTTCAATTACAAACCAATGAATATTCACTTCAAGTTCTTTAATTTTCAATTCAAGCTGAATTGAATTCAAATTCAATAACTTATGTAATTGAAAAGTTGTTGAATTTTCAATTCTTTTCTAACAGTGTATGTTTTCAATAAAATGTTCAAAACGTTCGCTTGGTACTATTCTTTTCAATCCTTCGTAAAATTTCTGTTTCTTCCATCTAATTTAATCTTATATAATTTGAAAAATAGTTTTCCATATGCAACAGAGAATTTTGTTTCCTGTGAAGAATTTATTTTGCTCGATAATTATTTTTCTTACCTTCAAACATAAAATATGAGTGAATTGTACAAAATTTTGGCTTTTACAAAAAATAAAGAAAAATGGTAATCGTTAAACCGACCGTACAATTCAAATTTAGATAAAAAAAAACAATTCATCATTTGCTTAAAAAAACAAAAGATCTGTAAAAATGTACACACTTTTGAAAAGCTAAATAATTTTTAAAAAGTTGTAACATTTTTAAACTAATAATGAAGAAAATTTGTTGGAGAATGCAGGAATTATCGATGAGATTTTTCGAAGGGTCCGAAGATTTATAAAGATAAATACGGCAATTGCCAAAACAAAAAAATTATATATCAATTAAGTACCAAGGCGAAATATCAAAAAATTACAATTAACAAAAAAAGAAGTGATATACTTATCAATTATAGAAATACCAAAGCAGATTTAGGGAAAAAATCCATCTTAAAAAGAAAATAAATAACAAAGTTTAGCAAAGAACTAAAAAATGAACACAAATGCAAACAATAGCAGATAAAAAAAATAAGAAGAAAGAATATAAAATCTTTAAAAATTGGACAAGTGCGAGTTGAACTCGCACTGCAATGGCGGGTTCCGTACACAAATATTAAAACAATACTTGCAACATTTATCGGTAATTGGTAGAATTAAAATAAACAATTAAAAAATATATTAATATCATTTGATAAAAAAAATAAATAAAAAAATTAAAGTATTGTATATATATAATATTGTAAACAATAATAAGTAGAGGAACAAAATTTGTTGCTGTTTTTATTGTTTTATTTTTAAAGATTTGTAAAAAATTTTTAAAAAATGTAAAAAAAAATTTTTTTTTTTTTTTTTTTAGATTTTTAAATATATTTTTTGTGATCAGACTGCAAAAATAGACTAATAAACCCATTTTTAGTTAATTAGATCAAATAATGTAGAAATTAGAAAAAAAAAAAAATTTCAAAATATTTTTTAGTTTTTCCTTGACAACGCTATGTACATTAATACATAGCAAGTTCTCTATATTTTTCCTGTAATATTCGCGATAAAATACACCAGTATGCCAAATTTTAGCCCTCCATGTTGAATAGTTTAGAAGTTAAGGGGGGGGGGGGAATGGTCACTTTTTATGCATTTTTGGCCAAAAATCTTGTTATTTCCTTGACAACGCTATGACCATCATCTCCAAACACATTCTCTATATTTTTCCTGTAATCTACGTGTGAAAATACATATCTGTACCAAATTTGAGCTCTCTAGGTCAAATAGTTTAGCCGCTAGGGGGGGGACACGATTTGGCTACGGATAACAGAGTCTCACCAATAGGGTTCCGCCGATACACCGTAGGTGTACGGAACCCTAAAAATTATGATAAAATTGACTAGTTTGCAAGACTTAATACTTATTTGAACAAAAGTAGCTTTTTTAGTCGCAGAGTTAAGCCTTACTGTCAAAGTTGACTTAACTGCATCATTACGAATCACAGAATGATGAATATTGCAGTTTTCCTACTTTATGCTATTGCTTTCTTGATCTTCTTTTTTTCTTCCTTTGTAGCGGATGTCGGCTGTACCGATGACTACAGATATTTCGATTCGAAACTAATGAGAACGCACTACAATTTATCTTCATCTTCGTTATTTTTTTTTCTCTTCATCTTCGTATTTCTTTTTTTTAAATTTATAAAATCAACGAAACATGATACCATTTTATTTTGGAGGTCATATTGCCTCTCATATCGTTCTGATGATTTTTTCGACTCCTCCTGCCACCACAATGGCGGTTCCTTTTCTTTCATTTTCTTGGTTTTTTTAATTGGCTCATTATCTTTAATATTTTCTACGTCCCTTTCAATGCGTTTCTTAAATCCCGATATGCTCGAAGCCACTGCTACTGGTTGAATCTGCGGTTTTTTATACATAATATCATGCATAATATCGAAATACATCCATGTAACAGGACCTTCTCCTGTTTTGTTTTTTTTTCTAAATTCGACTTGTATGTTCGGTTTAACGATTTCCATTTTTCTTTGCATTCAAACCAAGTTTTTAAAATTCCTTTTGTTTTCATTAATCCGCTTATCTTCAGCCAAAAGTCTTTAGACAATGTATCGCTTCCCTTTGTCACCCCTTCTACTTCCGGATAACATCCTAACAGAGTCCTTGTTTGAGAATCATCCCAAGGTCCAGAAGTTTTTAAATCTGGAAAAATAAAAAATTTTATTTTCTTTTTTTTTCTTTTTCAATAACGAAGCAAAAATAAAACCCTTTAAAACTGAAAGCCCAGCGTATTATTTAATTTTCTAATATTTAAAAAAACATAAATCTTATTATTGATAAATCATAAAAGTTCGTAAACAGGTAAGTGGATTGACCAGTGCCACAGAAAAATGCCTGGGTAAATTTTGTTGCGTATAATTTTAACCAATGCTAATTCACAGACGGTGGAGTCCTCAACTAGAACAAAATTTGTTGAAGTTAATTTTTACACAGATTTCGGAGTAAAAGTTATACTTTCTTTTTTTTCGTGTGTGAAATTTGAACCTATCGAAATTGAGGCACGTGCAATAAGGGGATACGCACGTGAGCCTTTAATTAATGTTGTTCAGGGATGTAAATTTATTGTCTGACAATATTATAGATTATTTAAAAATGTAATATACATACTATAAAAACTTTAAAAAATAATTAATTAGTTAATAATTTTTGAATACAACTTCTCAATTTTGGGAAAATTAAAATTTGAACTTTTCTCATAACTTGTTATTCTTAATTTACAATATTTTAAATCTTTTTCACGATTTTCATCAGTTTATTTTTTAAATGAAAAAAAAATTATACAAGAACAAAATAAAAAATTGTCACCTGAAAACGAAAAAAGAAAGTAAAAAAAAAAATTCAAGTAAAGACCGAATTCTTTTCAAATTAGGCAGGCTTAACAAAGTTGTGACTGAAAATCTTTTTGTATTGAAAATATTGTTTTGCAAACAATTTTAGACGAAATTTTTTTTTAAAGTTATAAGGATTGATATTTTGTGTGCAATTAAGTAATAACGGAAATAATTGTCAGCAAAGATCATTAATTATTTACATGTTGTCATGGAAAAAGACAAGAATTTTTTAATAAGATTTACAAAATCTTAAAAAAAATAAATCTAAAAAAAAATAAATGTGAGCTTTGAATCAATATTTTCAGACATTTATTTAAAAAACGCAACATACTTTATTAATAAAAAAATTAAATTTTTTAAATTCAAAATTCATGAAAATTTGTAACATTTTTACAGAAATATTAAATAATTTTTAATACAATTGGCAAATAGTGGATAAACTTTAATTAAATTACCTCCAAGAAAAAAAAATAAAATAAGTTTTTCAAATAATTGAAATTTTTTTCCAAATCAAATAAAGTTTTTCCAGCTTCGTCTCATATACAAAAAGATTTTTCAAAAGGCTAGAAGAGGGAGCAAAGAAATCAGAAGATTTTCTGCAAAAATTTTGACTTTCAATGAACTTAGCCCAAAAAATATGAAAATTCCAAATTTTTAAAGAAAGGAAATTTTTTTCTCCATTATTAAAGGTTTTTCCCGTTTCGTATCAAGTGTGAAAAGACTTATCCACAGGTTAGAAGAGAGAGCAAGAAAATCCTAAGATTTTCTGAAAAAATTTTGACATTCAATGAACTTAGCCAAAAAAAATAGAAAATTCCAAATTTTTAAAGTCAGGAAATTTTTTTCTCGATCAACTAAAGTTTTTCTAGCTTCGTATCGAGTATTAAAAGATTTCTCAAAAAGTTTGGGAAGGGAGCAAAGAAATCCGAAAATTTTCTGCAAAAATTCTGACTTTCAATGAACTTAGCCCAAAAAATATGAAAATTCCAAATTTTTAAAGACAGGAAATTTTTTTGACCATCAACTAAAGTTTTTCCAGCTTCGTCTCATAAATAAAAAGATTTTTCAAAAGGTTGGAAGAGAGAGCAAAGACATCTGAAGATTTTCTGAAAAAATTTAGACATTCATTGAACTTAGCCAAAAAATATGAAAATTCCAAATTTTTAAAGAAAGGAAATTCTTTTATCCATTATTAAAGGTTTTTCAAGTTTCGTATCAAGTGTTAAAAGATTTTTCCACAGGAAGAGAGAGCAAAGAAATCCGAATTTTTTCTGCAAAAACTTTGACTTTCAATGAACTTCGCCAAAAAGAATATGAAAATTCCAAATTTTTTAAGACAGGAAATTTTTTTCAGTATCAACTACAGTTTTTCCAGTTCGTCTAATGTAAAAAAAGATTTTTCAAAAGGTTAGAAAAAGGAGCAAAAAAATCTGGAAATTTTCTTAAAAAATTTTGAAAATTTATAAACCTAGTCAAAAAAAAAAAGAAAATTCCAAATTTTTAAAGACAAGAAATTTTTTTCTCTATCAACTAAAGTTTTTCAAGCTCCGTATCGATTATTAAAAAACTTCTCAAAAGGTTTGAGGAGGGAGCAAAGAAATCCGAAAATTTTCACATTCGATGAACTAAGCCAAAAAAATAGAAAATTCTAAATTTTTAAAGTCAGGAAATTTTTTTCTCGATCAACTAAAGTTTTTCTAGTTTCCTTTAGTATCGAGTATTAAAAAACTTCTCAAAAGGTTTGGGAAGGGAGCAAGGAAATCCGAGAATTTTCTGAAAAAATTTTCACATTCGATGAACTAAGCCCAAAAAAAAGATAATTCCATATTTTTAAAGACAAGAATTTTTTTTCTCGATCAACTAAAGTTTTTCTAGCTTCGTATCGAGTATTTAAAGATTTCTCAAAAGGTTTGGGAAGGGAGCAAAGAAATCCGAGAATTTTCTGAAAAAATTTTCACATTCGATAAACTAAGCCAAAAAAATAGAAAATTCTAAATTTTTAAAGTCAGGAAATTTTTTTCTCGATCAACTAAAGTTTTTCTAGTTTCCTTTCAAGAAGAAAGAGATTTTTTAAAAGGTGTGAAAATGGAGCAAAGAAATCCACATATTTTCAGAATAAATTTTGACGTTTGATTGTCTAAGTTCATTGAAAGTCAAAATTTTTTCAGAAAATTCTCGGATTTCTTTGCTCCCTCCCCAAGCCTTTTGAGAAATCTTTTAATACTCGACACGAAGCTAGAAAAACTTTAGTTGATCGAGAAAAAAATTTCCTGACTTTAAAAATTTGGAATTTTCTATTTTTTTGGCTAAGTTCATCGAATGTCAAAATTTTTTCAGAAAATTGTCGGATTTCTTTGCTCCCTCTTCTAGCCTTTTGAAAAATCTTTTTGTTTATGAGACGAAGGTGGAAAAACTTTATTCGATCTTGACAAAAATTTCCTGTCTTTAAACATTTGGAATTTTTATTGTTTTTTGGCTAAGTTCATCGAATGTCAAAATTTTGTCAGAAAATTGTCGGATTTCTTTGCTCCCTTCCCAAACTTTTTGAGAAATCTTTTAATACTCGATACGAAGCTAGAAAAACTTTCTATTTTCTATTTTCTATTTTTATTTATTATTTATTTATTTATTTTTATTTTTTATTTATTTTTTTTTCTATTTTCTATTTTTTTTGGCTAAGTTCATCGAATGTCAAAATTTTTTCAGAAAATTTTCGAATTTCTTTGCTCCCTCCCTAAACCTTTTTAGAAATCTTTTAATACTCGATACGAAGCTAGAAAAACTTTAGTTGATCGAGAAAAAAATTTTCTGGCTTTAAAAATTTGGAATTTTCTATTTTTTTTTGGCTAAGTTGAAATGTAAAAATGTGAAATGTGTTGTTGAATGTGAAAATTTTTTCAGAAAATTGTCGGATTTCTTTGCTCCCTTCCCAAACTTTTTGAGAAATCTTTTAATACTCGATACGAAGCTGGAAAAACTTTCTATTTTCTATTTTCTATTTTTATTTATTATTTATTTATTTATTTTTATTTTTTATTTATTTTTTTTTCTATTTTCTATTTTTTTTGGCTAAGTTCATCGAATGTCAAAATTTTTTCAGAAAATTTTCGAATTTCTTTGCTCCCTCCCTAAACCTTTTTAGAAATCTTTTAATACTCGATACGAAGCTAGAAAAACTTTAGTTGATCGAGAAAAAAATTTCCTGACTCTAAAAATTTGGAATTTTCTATTTTTTTGGCTAAGTTCATCGAATGTCAAAATTTTTTCAGAAAATTTTCGGATTTCTTTGCTCCCTTCCCAAACTTTTTGAGAAATCTTTTAATACTCGATACGAAGCTGGAAAAACTTTCTATTTTCTATTTTCTATTTTTATTTATTATTTATTTATTTATTTTTATTTTTTATTTATTTTTTTTTTCTATTTTCTATTTTTTTTGGCTAAGTTCATCGAATGTCAAAATTTTTTCAGATAATTTTCGAATTTCTTTGCTCCCTCCCTAAACCTTTTAAGAAATCTTTTAATACTCGATACGAAGCTAGAAAAACTTTAGTTGATCGAGAAAAAAATTTTCTGGCTTTAAAAATTTGGAATTTTCTATTTTTTTTGGCTAAGTTGAAATGTAAAAATGTGAAATGTGTTGTTGAATGTGAAAATTTTTTCAGAAAATTGTCGGATTTCTTTGCTCCCTTCCCAAACTTTTTGAGAAATCTTTTAATACTCGATACGAAGCTGGAAAAACTTTCTATTTTCTATTTTCTATTTTTATTTATTATTTATTTATTTATTTTTATTTTTTATTTATTTTTTTTTCTATTTTCTATTTTTTTTGGCTAAGTTCATCGAATGTCAAAATTTTTTCAGAAAATTTTCGGATTTCTTTGCTCCCTCCCCAAACCTTTTGAGAAGTTTTTTAATACTCGATACAAAGCTTGAAAAACTTTAGTTGATAGAGAAAAAAATTTCTTGTCTTTAAAAATTTGGAATTTTCTTTTTTTTTTTGACTAGGTTTATAAATTTTCAAAATTTTTTAAGAAAATTTTCAGATTTTTTTGCTCCTTTTTCTAACCTTTTAAAAATCTATTTTTACATTAGACGAACTGGAAAAACTTTAGTTGATACTGAAAAAAATTTCCTGTCTTAAAAAATTTGGAATTTTCATCTTCTTTTTGGCGAAGTTCATTGAAAGTCAAAATTTTTGCAGAGAATATTCGGATTTCTTTTCTCCCTCTTGTAACGTGTGGAAAAATCTTTTAACACTTGATACGAAACTTGAAAAACCTTTAATAATGGAGAAAAAAATTTCCTTTCTTTAAAAATTTTTTCTCCAAATTTTTAAATAAACGAGGTTTTCCACTTATGCACTTCAAATCCTTGTAACTTTAAGAAAATCTTATTTTTTTCAAAAATAATTTTTCAGAAAAATAAAAAATTACGTGTCGTCTAAAATTATATAAAAAACTTTTTTTTTGAAACCTTGATGAAACGGCAACAAACCTTCGTGTCCAATATTGGAAACAGGCAAATCTTTAACGAGTGAAGCTTCGGTTCCTGGTACGGGGAGTTGGCATCCTGGAGTATCTGTTGTTGGGCCAGAACATTGACTGGACGGATGCTGATGGTAGGCCATTTCAATTAGCGGCTGTCTAGATGAAGAGAGAGGATTGTGGCAGCTAATGTCCGCACAAAAAGTCTTTGCCCCTCAGAATTTGTTAACTTTGCAAGCTTATAACTCTTTTAAAAAAATTTTTTTAATTTTGGAATAAACAGTTAATAAAGCGTAGTTTATCTGTGCAAATAAATATATGCTATTCTTAAATGGAAAAAATTTTGTTCCTAATTTGTAATCAAATATGTATAAAAATGTCCCTTAAAAATGATACTTTATAAAATGTATGTACTTTCACTAGTCCCTGTGATGTTATTAACAATGGAAAAAATTTACAAAACTTATAGCAGATTTGTTAATAATTAACCTTTATATAGAAGTTTAAAAAATCCTAAAATTATGTTAATTATCGTTGTAATGAGCATTTTTATGCTAATGTGCTATCTGGCTTTAAAATGAGGATACAGCTTTGCGACAAATTGTAAAATATCCAGTACAACATTCAAAAATATTTAAGCTAAAAAGTTGTTAATTAATAATTTAAATTTTTAAGAAAAACGGCATTTTTTGGATTGAATATTGAATTGAAAAAAAATGTCAGAAAAAATTTAGTGCCACTTGCTGCTCGAAAACATGGCTCACCAGTAAACTATACCTGGGCTTTGGGAGTCAGGGATGTATAATGGAATATTGCAGTAGGTGAAGCCCCTTTAACATAAAAATATTTACGACAATTCTGATTTTCCATGACACATCCCTGAGTTTAAAGGCCTTACAAAGGTTTGGTCTTGAAATTGACCGTAAGAAACTCTCCGGTCGGCAAGTTGCACTTGTCTATGCGACCCTTTTTTCTATGTTTTTTTTACTAAAAGTGAAATCGACACCTCATTAAAAACTTAAAATTTTCTAAATGGATAAAGAGCACAATTTAAATTGCATTCAGATACAAGTCTTCAAATTTTGTTTAATTTTCTAAAATATACATTTTACAATTCATCGCAAAGCTGTATCTTTATTCTGAAGCCAGATAGCACATTAGCATAAAAATGCTCATTACAACGTTAATTAATATAATTTTAGGATTTTTTAACCTTCTTTATAAAGGTTAATTATTAACACATCTGCTATACGTTTTGTAAATTTTTTCCATTGTTAATAACATCACAGGGACTAGTAAAAGTACATACATTTTATAAAGTATCATTTTTAAGGGACATTTTTATACATATTTGATTACAAATTAGGAACAAAATTTTTTCCATTTAGGAATAGCATATATTTATTTGCACAGATAAACTACGCTTTATTAACTGTTTATTCCAAAATTAAAAAAAATTTTTTAAAAGAGTTATAAGCTTGCAAAGTTAACAAATTCTGAGGGGCAAAGACTTTTTGTGCGGACATTAGGTTCGTCTGTTTACGAAAGAAAGTACATGTCATAAGCTATTCCTATTTACCATATATAATAGATTTAGATTGAAATCATATTGATTTTATATACGAAAATTGATTTGTAATGCCAAATTGAAAATTTGACATTATTTCCATGATCGATAATACTTTTGACCATAACTTTAAAAAAATGTATTGACACCTATGAATATTTAAATTAATGTTTCAAAAATAAAAAATTGCGAAAAACGTGAATTTTGGTTAAAATTTTTTTTCTGAGTCTCAACATATTTAATATATTTTATGAACACCTTAAGGAGAAGTCGATTAACATAAAGAAAATCTCCATGAGGATTTAAAGTATTAATACAATGAACACAAAATATTTATACTTTAACTTGGCAGCAAATTCTTTTTATTTTTTTATACATACCAGAATCTTGGACTTTATCCGCGGTTTTGGAAGATGAGGAGGAATTTTTAAATTCTTGTTTCAGCATTGTTTCTTGCCAGCGCTTTACTATATTTTCATTAAAATACATGTATGATCTTTCATCTGCAATGTATAAATTATTATTAATATAATGATTTATATATATATATATATATATATATCTAAAGTGGTCGAAATTTAAAAATTGATAATTAAACTTTTAACCATTTAAGACTGATGGCAAATTAAAATTCTATCAAATTAATCTCCATCAAGTAAAAATTTTGCAATAGAAAAAAATGTTAAATAGAAATTGTGCCAAATAAATTATATTTGAAAAATGTAAAATATGCTAAAAAAAATTATTCCTAATGATTTTTCTTACAAACCAAAATTCGATTATACAAAAATTCTGTAAAATTAAATGTCGATCAAGTAAAAATATTCGAACAAATGAAAATTATATTTTTCTTTAACTGAAAGACGTCTGGCGAAATAGACACTTCGATAAAGAAAAGCATACATTAAGATTAGTCTTAATCTTAATTTAAGGTGAAACTTGTATTAAAACAAGATGTTTGCAAATCTGAGTTTACTTAATACGTGAAATTTAAATCCTCCTACGCCTTAATTTATAAAAAATATCTTAAATTCAGCATAAAGCTGCTGATTTCGCCAAGAAATTGTATTAAATTCAGCAATCAAAAACACTAATAATCATGTGTCGAATATATAAAATTATATTTATGAACATCTTATTTTTATACAACTTTCAGTATAAATTAAGAAAATTTATAAATAAAATTATACTTACTGGTACGAATGTTTGTGACGTCACACAAAATTTGATTACCTTCTGTGACTATAAGGTATTATTTTTCTCGTCTAAAACCACCCAATTAATTTTAATCCTATTCTCTTCCATCCTGGTTTTCAATCACTTTTTTAACGTTAAGTAATTTCACTTTAATATTTAAGCCAGGTAAAAGATACGTTCACCGAGAGTGAAACCGCAGTCAACTACGCAAAACTGGTAGAAATAGAAAACAGTGAAAACGTGAAGAAGAAACGTTAAGCTGTATTCACAGGTGCAATGCACAAACTCAACAAAAATTTGGATGAGAACCTTTGTTACCTCTAGAGTTAACCCAGAGTGAGCGCCGAAAACACCCAGTGTAGCAAATGACCTTTAAAATAAGCCTAAGATCATCAAAAAGCTTTCATTATTTTAGAAGTTATTCAAATTTTTGTAAAACATTTAAAATGACAATTTTTTAAAAATATCTAAATGAATTATTGTCCAAACGACTTCTGAAATATCTTGTTCTGTTCAAAATTTTATCATCTTTAAAAAAATGAGTAGAAAAGAATTTTAGTTTCAACAAATTTTATGTTTTAAAACGATTTTCATTTGCCTGAAAATGGGTGGTCTCTCAATTTTGACCGGTAGTGTAGGGGAAGTGCGCCGGTTGTGGGCACCCTCCGGTTGTGGGCACCCCTACGTAAACTTCGACGGCAAGCAGACTTTACTGAACTAAGTATTGCAAGTCGTAATCGTTGACAATACGGACTTTTCGTATTGATAACGAAACAAATATATGCATTTGTGTAATAGCTGTGAGCATAATAAAGAAAATTTGCATTAAATAAATAAAAAAGTAATTTTGTATTGTTTTCGAAGAGCAACATATGGGTGTAGATTCGTTCAGAAAAAAAGGGTTTAATTTTTTTTTGCAGTGTTGTAATTATATTTTGTGATTTACCTTCGTGTTTAACCAAAATCCTGCATCACAAAATGTGTTGGTCTTTTTAAAAAATGACTTTCATTCCCGGTTGTGGGCACCTTTATGTTAAGGAAGCTCTACCATCTGACAATGATGAGGACTACTGTCTCATCTATCTAAACTTTCTGCCAAGGAAAGTGACAGCCGCAAACTCCATTAAATGCGATGAATATAGTCGTTCAGTGCATTCGAAGTGCGTTATGTTATGCGTACTAGCTACTTCACATGCAAGCATTATGCTTTTGTTAGCGATGAGCATAGTGTGAAAACGTGTCATCATTTTTGTTCTTTATCCCGGCAAATTCTCTTAAAATAAAGAAACTTTCATTTCTTCTTTATTTGTGTTGTTTCCTTTAATATTTTTCCATTTTTAGCGGATTTTTCAAGGGTGCCCACAACCGGGTACAAAATTTTTTTTGTCAAAAAATTCCCATTTCACTAAATTTCTAATAAAACTTTTTTATTTAAAGGAATCAATTTACTTCCTTCACTGACAGTCACCTTAGACCTCTAGCTTTAAATTCGTACACATATATTTGTATAATATGCACATGGAAAAATGTTATGAGGCAAAAACAAAAAGGTGCCCACAACCGGAACACTTCCCTTACTTCTGTCCTTTTTACACTCACTGCTCAACGCAAAACGCAGCGTTTGAACGCAAGCATGTAAACACAGCCTCAATCTCAAATTGATGTGATGTATGCTGCTCTCTAAATTTAAATTAGTAAAAATGTTTACTAATTTGAATTAGTGACTGACTTTTTGCTTTTGAATTAGTAAACTTTACTAATAAAGTAGTAGAAATGACTATTTATTAGTAAAATTTATTCATTCAAAAGCAAAAAGTCAAATTTAGAGAGTGATTTCTCTAAAACATTTGATAAAGTCGATCGGGATATTTTGTTAAAAAAACTATTGTATGGATGTGTTTGACAATTTGATTTCATTTCTTAAAAGTTTTCTTTCCGAAAGGTATAAAGTTGTAAAAACAAATAAAGAATACTCTAATCCTTTTCTGGCAACTTCCGGTGTTCCTCAGGGATCAAACATTGGTCAACCTCAAATGTTACAAGATTACTAAGCCGTTCAATCCTTTCCAGAATTCTTCAAATCTTCAACTTGACCTAGAGCGTCTGGCGAACTGGTGTGCCTATAATCACATGACGATCAATATTGATAAGACAAACTTGATTTCTTTCTCAAAGAGTAGTCATTGTCTAATTGTTACACTATTGTTGATTAGGAATTCTTAACCCGGCGCAAAACTGTTACACCGACTATGTGGCAGTCATGACATGCCCTGACTGTAGAATTGACTATAAATGTTACATATGGCTATATTAAGTTAAATTCTGGTATTATATTATAAAAAGCATGTAATAATAGTACATTGTGAAACGAGGACGCAAAGCGCAAGTTTCTCGTCCGAGCTTGATTTTGCAGTACCAGGCAAAGCCGAGTACTGTAAACAAGCGAGGACGAGAAATGCGTGCGTCCGAGGTACACACGACATTTTATACAAAACGAGAATGTAATCCGCGCTTACATACTTGTTTTGTATAAAATGTATTTCCTTAATTATTTATTTATCTATGATGACAAAAACAAGTCTTTGTCTTAAGATTTATCATATGATTAAATAAAGCAATGAAACATTTAAACTTTTATAAAATAAAATTTTCACTTTTACAAAGTTAGGACTTTAAACATTATAGAATGAGTAGTATAATACTGCTTTTTAGAATATATTACGATTGAATTTTCTTTCTTTCAAAGTAAAAAAATCTCGCATGTTGTACATACATAGGCCGAATTATATGCTAAAATGACGTTTACGTC